TATGTATGTATGTATGTATGTATGTATGTATGTATGTATGTATGTATGTATGTATGTATGTATGTATGTATGTATACATATGTATATGTGTGTATATATATACACACACACATACATACACATACACACACGCACACACATATAGTATAGTGGCACAGAATATTCTGTACAGTTCTTTTGATATTTCATAATTGTATATCTTTGGTGAAATAAAGCATAGTGGTGAAAATCTACTACATACTGTTTTGCCCTAAGTGCGCATAAACAAAATATGTTTTCATATGTATGTGACAATGATTGCCTGACAACTGACATTTTTAATTAGCGCATACTTTGAGTTTGGAGTCGTTGCATCGTGCCATTTGTGAGATTCTCTGTGCTTCCACCGAGACCAAGAGTGGACGTTACTTTTCTTCCATGAAAATAGATAGACTACTTGTTGCAGACACAGATGTCACAAGATGACCTCCCGGCCTTATTTGATCAGGTTTATATCTTTTTCAGATTGGTACTTGGACATCAGGAAGTTATGGTGCAGGTACAAATGCATGCATGAATTGCGTTCATAATGGGAATAGACAGGGATGGTTGTCTAGGAACATAATTAAAATTGTTCAGTTTTATCAGATGTATCTATATATAAGATGATATTAAAAATTGTAGATTGGGATAAGAATTGTTAGGATTGGAAAAAGCAGCTGGAATTTCAGATCATAACTGCATCAATTAAAGGTTTCGTACTTCACCAAGACTTAGATTCACGCACCCCTGGCACAGAGTTTTGTAGGCCTAAGGATGACAATAGGGCCTCTGTTTTTACTCTTCTGAGTGGTATATTCAGAGCCAGCAAGGATGTTGTATTTCATTCAATCCTCGCAAAGTGGAAACTCGATATCCAATGTACACACAAACACACACGCACTGTCCTGCTTCTGGCAGTGTGTTTTACTACACTGTAGAATTATACGTGGCACACTGCACGGTCACTTAGAAGCTCATATCAAAGGTAAGCTATGTGTGTTTATTACAGTGGAAGAAATGATTCATAGTGAACACATTCAAAAAAAACCTCTTCTTGTCACACAATATCACTTTTTTCAATATACACTTTGCTTTTAGCATTAAGTGATTTTAATATGAATAGTAGCGCAATTTAACACCAGATGATAAAATTATGCATTACTTGCATAATATTATATTAGATTCTTATGTATATGCAATGTACATGACCGCCACATCACTTCTGCTCACCAAAAAAATTTCAAGCACTGTACAGATTGGCATTAATTTAATTGCCCGCACTACACATCACAAATGTAGTTTTCAAAATATTACAATATTTCTATATCACTAGCCTTTATCTAAAGTCTATTACCAAAGTGATCTATCTAATATTTTATATAGACACAAATTTTCTACAATTATAATTTGCTTATCGCTGTCATAAAAAATGTTCTTAAAAATTTCACCTATGTTATGTTATTTGTTTATTCAAGACTTTAAAAATGTTAAGACTTATAAAAAACTTAGCATTATTATTATCCTAAACACAGTACTAATAATACGTTTGATTCCTAATTTTAGCGTCCCTATAAGAGTCTTATCTCATACAAGAGATCGTTGTGTTCTGGCATTCATAAATTCGCTTAAGAAATGTGGTGAGTGAGGTGGTCTCACTCAAGTGATCTCAGTACCTTCCTGAGCTGCCGCCTGGGCCTCTAGACACTCCACATATAAGTCCTGTTCATGCCACTTGGCTGCTAGCTCGTCCTTTGACATGCTGTCCAATTGCTGTTGTGTTAGCTTCACATGCCTTGGTTGCCTAGGAGAATGAGGACTGCTTGGTTTTCCCCCTGTACCATTATTCTGTGGACTTCTTGGGGAAGATGGACCTGCAGACTTAACATCGTTGCACTCTTCTGCCATTTTATGTCAGATGTTATTAAAATCACACCCAAGGCCTTAAGTAAGTTTTGAAGTTTCGTCTTCTTCTTTAACTGTTTAGCTGCAACAAGTGCGTTGATGATATGCTGTCAGTGCTAGCACACATTTGTCTGGAAAAGATAAAAGCATTCTTTGGATACACATTACATTGATACATCATGAATAAATTAAATAATTATATAAAATTAAAATAACATTTTTATAACATAAATTTATTTCTTAAAATATAAAGTTTATAGCAATAAAATATTAAATTGAACTAGATATATTACTATATTATGATCATACTATGATCATTATGAATATATTTATTTTTATCATTTAATATTTAATTATGTCCAATATATTTTAAAAATATTTATGATGTAATACTAATAAATAATGTGTAATTTTTTTTTAATTATTTCTTAAGTATTGCATAATATTTAAGAATACGATATTCTCATAATTAAGGTTATATAGTTATAACACATTAATATTAAAATAGAATACAAAATAGAACTTTATTGTAGATAATAAATTATCTTTAAAATTGTATTTGTGAACTTCTCAACCTCAAATTTATTTCTAACAGCGTATTTGATACTTTATTGCAAAAAATTTGTATACGTAAATATGAAATTACTATTGTTAGAACTAGTATTAAAAGCCTATCATACAGCACTACTATACACGTTATTTACAACTACTTCATTTTTATAGACATTAGTACTTCTACTTGTCATACAATGGAATACAATTTTTTCAAAGCGCAGGATCAAACCCGGCTTTTAGAACATACCGCGTGATTGAAGAAGGTCACGTGGTACGTTTAATGTTTTATTGCGACATGCAGGGTAGGGAATGTAGGATCCAGTTATCTACAGTCGAAGGGAACATTGACGCCATTATGTCGACATGTTTGCCATGAACGAGAATTTCGCGATATAAGATTAAAATTTTTATTTATCCTGTTTTGAACATTATTGAAATTACTTACATATATGAATTATAAAACAGACTTAAGAAATTTATGTGAAACAGTACACCTATAATTACAACCGACCAGATGTTTGATTTAGTTTTAATAATTATATATACTTTCCTAACATAGATTGTTGTAAACTCATTACTACATAACATCATCTAACAATATAATATCACTTTTGTTCACCTCACATACCTGATCTAGTGACACGCCTATCATTCCATTGAAAAATGTTTGTATCCAGTATTCGGTATAACGTGAAACGATGAAACACGATACCATGTATGTGTATACACACCACACATGTAGGTATATGCATATATATATATATGTATATATATATAAAATATATGTATACGCGTATGTATGTATGATGATGTACGTATGTGTGTATAATGTACGTGCGTACGTACGTATGTATATATCTATCTATCTATCTATCTATCTATATATATATATATATATATATGTATATATACATATGTATTATATATATATATATATATCAGATACAGATGTATATAAATATCTGTGTGTGTATACAAATGTAATTTCGTAGTCTTCTTTTATAAGCAAGTGGAAGCTTCGTTAACAAATTCCTCGATTAATCAATTAATAAAGAGAATAAATTTTATGTGCTAAGTTTGTCTTAATGTTGCGCGCATTCAAAATACAACATCAATAAGTACACATGATACAACATATCGTAAAATCCCTCAAAAACCATGCTACTACAGCTTCACACAGTAATGTAACTAATCACGAACAATGATTACTGACGACCTCAACGTTCAGAGTGGCTAAGGAAACGAATATCAGCGCATGCTCCAATCACAATTGTCCAACTACAGTGCTAACATAGAAATGTACCAAATGTTTTTCGAGTAAACATAATATAGAGAATACGTAAATAAAAAAGAAAATTCCAAGAAGTTATTACCAATCAAATAAATCATAACTTATATATTTTCTATAATTATTTGTCATTAATTTCACAGATTGTAAATTTACAATTATGTCAAGTGTAGCATATAAAGCATCTGTATATATTTTAAATATCGAATCATAAACTTCTGCACTAGCTATATTATAGCAAGGTTCTAATCATCTAAAATATTTCAAGATGGCATGTTGAGCCCGCCATTTTCAAAATGCATGATAATATGAACTTCAATAACAACTTGAGATAAAAATCAGTCTACATAAAAGGTATTTCTTTTTAAAAAATGAAGTATTCTAATTATTTGAGATGATATATATTTTCAGGTCTTACAAATAATTCTGGTAATAAAATATCTGAATAAATCTTCGTTTAAAATGATTTAAACATAAGGTTAAAATATTATATTATAATAAACCCAATAAATTAAATAATATACATGAAGACAAAATTTATTCCTTTGAAAGGCTAACTCTAGGTTTTTTCATTATTTCTGTGCTTATCTTTGAAGATTTTATTGGTTTTATCTTGATAGGTATTGATTTTGAAATTTTTGTGGGTGGTTTAATCATCGAGGTTCGATTATGTGTTGTATTAAGTGTTTCCAAGTTTGATGAAGCATCGATTTGTTGTTCAGGAGATGCGAACTTTTTTGCTGTGATGAAATTTCTACAATTTTAAAAATAAAAACATGTACAATTTAAACCAAACATTTACGTATGTAGTACAAATAGATAAAATTAAAACATACCTATTTGACAAATCAGAATCGATCGTGACATTTGTTTTACTTGTACTATATCTTCTAGTTCCTAAATATTTTTGTCCTATGTCCGAAGGTTTTAGCAACGAAGTATTAGACTTAGCAGATGAAGGAATGTAAAAGCTACTACGGCGAACTGCGTGATTTGAATTCTCTTGTTCAAGTTTTACGTTTCTTCGTGTTACAGATTTGGAAAGCGTTGGTTCGATATTACGTCGTGCTCTCGGCGTTTGTGTTAAATTTCCCGAAAATGTTTTCATTTGTGTCTGTTGCTCGTGCGTTAAATAATTTAATTTTGATAAAGGTTTTGTACTTGATCGAGTTGGTTTGTAAGGACTAATAATAGCAGCTGGAGATATATTTGCCGGTGCCGATTTCACAGATGCACTATCAGTATCTAATATTAAGAGAAATAAATGTATTCATGATTTATAATAATATTTATCTAGTGTATAATTACCTAGATGAGGAGATAAATCATTCCAAATTTTTGGTTTCTTAACCAATAACACTTTCAAAGCTTTTTCTAAGTTTTGCTGTGCACCTAAGATATATTCAGTTATATTTTTAGGATTTTCAATTTCACTTTGTAAAGAAATTTGTCCTAAAGAATTGGATAATTCAGCAACTATAGCAGGAGAACTCGTAAGTTTTGGAGGCGATGGCCGTGGTTCTTCATCTAAACTTCCGGTTCCGATATCGATATCCCATGTTTTTTGACGTTGTAAAACAGGTTTATTTAATTGTATTGGGGATGTAGCTCGATTTATAGGTGTATCAGAACTTGAATCCTTACTTTGCTTTTCAGGAATACACTAACGTTACAATATTAAATTAGTTAAAGAAGACGTTAATGCTATAAATAAAATACTCACTCTTAAATTGACATCGTCTGTATGGAGATACATTTCCGGTTGTGTATAACTTCGTATAACTCCAATTTCTTTTGGTAGAGTACTCAGCATAGTTTTGGATCCACACGACGCATTACTTGTATGCGAAACGTTTAAATTTACATCTGTATTGCGATTAACATCCGGTTCGTTTACGATTGTGTCAAATAATTTATATGATACATCGCGCAAGACTCGAATAACGTCTTTTGATAAACGAGGTAATAGATTACTACCAGTTTCTTCCACTTTTTGCACAATATTATCCTGAAAGGAATATTAAGATGTTTTACAAGGCATTTTATTTTTTAAATTTGTTTTATTTTCATAGCAAATAATTAAATTTCTTAAACATCAGTACATGAACAAAATATTTCTAAATTTAAATTATAATAGTTAGATTAAATCAGGACTAATTTAAAATACAATTAAAATTATCCATTTTTACATACAGTACTTCCAATAGGTCCAGTGCCACTAATGCTCCAAAAGGATGCGTCTTTGATATGATCTGGATTAGGACATTGACATGTAATTCCACCTAATTCTAACACTGCTCTCATATTTGAAATATCGCATTCAACTGCAATTTTAAGAACTCCTTGTTGTTGTGGTGCCTCAATATTATTTTCATTTGTTCTTGATAGAAGTGGATCATTATGTTTTTCAAATGAGAGTAACTTAAATCCGATCCCTTGTAGAAAACTGGCTAATGTTGGTACGTCCGGTTTCGTTGAATGTCGAATATCGCGCATTTCCTCATTGTTCCAGTCAGTATGCGCATGTTCTCCATTTATCCATTTAAGTACCCACTGATAAAACTTTCGTTGTGCATTAAATTGAGAAGCATTTTGATTGTCGATACGACACGTGGTGGTATCCATCCCGAGAACACGTAAACTGAAGAGAACAGGAAACAAACTGTTCTTAGATTTCTGTTCAAATTTTTTTCCTTTTCCGATAACCGAAATTGTTAGTAATGAACTTATATTGGTATTGAATATGTAACAGTTCCTATTATTGGGTTAGAAATATTCAAAATGATTCAGATAAGCAAACACGTTGATGTATATAATTTTAACATAAACATTTTTTTACTTTTCTTTTCCCTAAGTTAAACGTTAAATAATATGTATTTTTTGAAAATGTACAACTTGAACTGGTTGACGATATATCAAAAGCAGTGTAGTACAACAATCCAAATAGTGTTTTATATCCAACTAATAATCCAACTATTTTGTTTTAAATATTTTTAGGTTATTCTTAAAAACAGATAAAATACATAAAAACAGAGAAAAATTACTTAATTCTAAATTATTTATATGAACAATTATTCTTATACTGATTTTTGTACATCTTTTATTTATTATAATCCATTTTATAATTATTTATTGTAAACTATTATGCATATTATCTTTTCTGTTACAGGATTTGTGAAACATCAAGTTATCATAATGCAAAAGTTTTTAATATATCCTGTAACAGTTTCTGCTATATCTCTACCTTTTCTATCATATACTGTCTTTGTAAATATATATAAGAAATATAGAGCTAGATATGAGTAAGTATAAAGGTATATCAAAGGTTTTTAAACATTTAATTTTATTAAATTTTGTAAGCAGTTAATTTTATTAAATTTTATAAATAGCTTTGATGATAATGAAATACCAGTTAGAAAAGATATTCAAAGAAGGTTTCAAGAAGTAATAAATGATCTAAATCTAAGAAAAGAAGTCAGAGAACGTATTAAACTCTTCAATGTTCATGATATAAATACGTATCATGCTGGAACAGTGTTTACACAATATGGTGGTATAATTGGAGTTCCAGTAAATTTTGAATATAAAGACATTGAAAATATAACTGAGGACACTATATCAATTCGAACTATACAAGTTGATTGGAATACAAAAGCTGCTAAACAATTTCTGAATTCTTTAATACTTTCAGAAAATGCACAAAAATTTGCACTGGCTCGAGAACTTTTAATAGTTACAAGTTATAAACCATTAATGAAAGGGTTTAATTTCATCTTGGATGCAGTAATAATATCTACAATTTATTTTCTATTTTCAAATAAATTACAAAGTATCAGAAACAAAATTCGACGGTACTTATATGCAAGTGCCGCTATTGTTATATGTTCTGCTGTAATATTATACTGCAACTATAACATAAATCGTAATGATGAATTACAAATCAATGACAGACTGACAGAACTTGGTGATAAATATGTTGAAGGTGGTGTAGAATATTATGAACAGTTATTAAAAAGAAACAAAGCTTTAAAAGTACTTTTTGGAACTATGAGTAAATATTATATTACATCTACTGGAGATGAAGTTCCTTGGTTTATTGATGGAAAAATAAAATTTTCTAAACAACTAGAGTATTTTAAAACAAAAATGGAAAATAAACAATTAGTATAATGATTATTCTTAAGATTTTGTAAAAATCAATAATAAAATTCATAGTAAATTCATTACTAATGATATTTTATTTCTAAATTGACTTTATTTATTAATATGTATTACTTACATAATTTATTTTTGCTTACCATCTAAATATTACTATCTAAAGATTCCTAGTTAAACTATTTATAAAATATAATTTTGTCATCTTTGCACCTTGTTATATAAAAAATTAAAAGAAAACAAATATTTATGAATTAATGACAATGATATAACAACAAATTTATTTATTCTATTAATAAATATATAAACGGTTATAAAAGTTAATATAGTGGCATGCTTGGGGGTAAACAGCCAATATTTTTAATTTTTTAATAAATGAATATATATAGGAAGCAAGGTAATCATATCTAATGTTGCATGTATCTGTAAATTGTGTAAAATTTGTTACAATATGTATTTTCTACATATTATGTATAATATTAATAAAATAATAGCCACCTTTTCTGAATATATATTCCATAAATAGGGACAAGATAATTACAACCTAATATACAAAAGTACTTACACAATTTCTACATATATTGTATTTTGCACTATGTGAGACCTAGAGAACCAAGCTGAAACATTAAAAGTAATCTTTTTATGTTTATTACCTATGTTGTAGTCAATTTAAAATAAAAATGTTCTTAATTTTATAAGCATGCAATATTTATCAAAATAAATAAAACATGCTCAAAAGAAAAATTATTTACATTTATGTTTATTCAAAACAATTTATTTGTTTTAGTTGAATTTACTATTGTCTTATTAAAGAAGATGATTTTGGTTAATATACCTTAAATATTACTTATTTGAAAAATTTGAAAAATTCTTTTACCAATGTCATTTTATCTTCTTCTTTTTTAAGTATTTTTGCTGTTTGTTCTTGATCAAATTTGACAACTGCAGCGATTACTCTAGCAAGCACCATTGTTTCTCTTCCCATCATGTACTCAAATAAAATATTTCTAAGATATTCTATTTCTGTTGAATCTTCTAATGTATCATGTCTTAACTTCATTATTTTTCTAAGTTCAATTAATTCTCGTCTCTGCGCTGTCAGTGTTTGTTGAAGGGTATGAAAAGAACCAGTATTCGATTGTACAGCTGCCATTGCAACTCGCGAAGTACTTTCTAATTCCTAAAGAAAATTTGTTTCTTAATTAATTTAAATTTTTTATTTGATAATATATAATAAAATAATATGGGAAATAAAATTAAATTCATTGCAATAAAATGAGTAAAATTTTACCTTATTAATTAAATCAGATTGTTCATCCAGCTGAAAGAAACATAAGTATAACTAAAAATGATAAGGAACAAATAAAGTAATGATTACTCAAATAAACAATACTAATACAAGGAGAACTTAAAGATGAATAAAACATGAAATACAATATAAAATGTAATTTTATGAATTATAAACTATTACACATTTTATAACTTTGTTTTAACCAACCCTTCTTTCATTTCGCCACTCGCGTGTTAATTCATTCATTTCTTCCTCGTGTTTTGCTTCCAATTTGTCAGTTTTTTGTTGTACAATTGATTTCCATTTCTTTTCTATATCTCTAATTTCATCTACATGTTCTTTCTTCATTATTGCAATTTTTTCCATTAATTGATTCATATCTTTTGCTTTCTGTGACATTAAATTTTTATTTTCTAAAATTAGATTTTCGATTTGTTCCGATTTTGTCGTTAATTCTATTTGAAAATCTTTCAATTGCTCTTTGTATTGTTGGATGAGATTTGACTCATAATTTTGCTGGCGATCTAAAATGAAATATTATTATATGAATCAAAATATAAATTTTTTAAATTTTAATATAGAAAAGAATTTTTTTATTTACCAAATCGTTTTTCTAATGCAGCATGTAACTCTTCTTCCTTATCATGTAATTGAGCTTGGAATTCCTTAACCAATTGCTTTAATCTCATACTTTGTTCTGCCTCATTTGTTTTCAATTCCTGTTTTAAGTTATGTACTTGATCTTTTAATTCATTACTAATGAAATGCATTTTCAATTCTTTTGCTTGGAATGTTATCAATGCTTCGTCCAGTTGTGCTTCTAATTTTTTATTTTCTTCTTCTAATTTATCACTCTGTTTAATAGACAAGTCATCTCCAGTTTGACTACTATTTATATTTTTTATTTCTTCATTTAATGTAATATTCGAATCTGTAAGAACTTTTATTTCATTCTGTAACTTATTAATTGTTTCTTTCAAATACTCAGCTGTAGTAGTTAATGCTTCTGTTTCTGATACTATTTCTTCGTCCATTGTTGAAGATTTTAACCTTTCAATTTCTTTTAACAATTCTGTATTTTTAGTATCTAATAATTTTAACTCTGCAACTTTTTCATCTATTATAAGTTGTGATTCGTCTATTTCTATTGTCAATTGTTTTTTTTCTTTGTCCTTTTTTTCTATTTGAGACAGTAATTCTGTATTTGTCACTTTTAAAGTATCAAGTTCATCTTTTAATTCAATATTCTTACATTCTATTTGATCTAAACTGGAAATCTTAGATTCTAACTTATTTACATAAGCTTGCAACTTTGTATTTACATTACCTAATTCTGTAATTTTATTTTTTAAAGATAAGTTTTCAGTAATTAATTCATTATTTTGTAATTGTATCTCCTCTAAATTACTTTTTGTTTCATTTAAGTTATTTATTTCTAATCTTAAGTGTTCTTTAATTGCTTTTAATCTTGCAATGTCTTTGTTTAAAATTTGTAATTCTGTTACAAGTTCTTTATTCTTTTCTTCTATATTATTATTATCTTCTAAAGTTACCTTAATTAAACATAATCTGTCAAATTCATTATTTAAAATTTCATTTTCCTTTATAAGATGTTCTTGAATGCCTTCTGCTTGTTTTTTATATGAATCAAATTTTTCAAGTTGGTCATTCAGTTTCTGATTAATAGGTTCTATTACTGTATTTAATAATATAATTTTATCTTTTAAATTGTCTATATGCTGATTTTGTTCACATAAACGATTTTTGTATAATTCAATTTCTTTCTGTAATTGTGTATTTTCAGTTACTAACTGTTCATTATATTTTTCATAATTTGTAATTTTTTGCTTTAAGTTTTCATTAGATTCACTTAATTCTTGATTACGTTTCAAAAATTCGTTTTGCTTGTCTTTTAAATCTTTATTTTCTAAATTGATTTCATTTTGAATTAATTTCAACTGTTCTAATTCAACGCTGATAATTTCATTATTATTTTTTAATGTTACTATTTGGCAGTTTTCTGATTTTAACATATTCATTTCTTTTTCTAATTTTTCTAATTGCGCTGATACATTTATATATAAAGTTTTTGCTTCATTAATTTCGTCAGTTAACTTTTGAATTGTAATATCTTGTTGTTGTTTAATAGTTTTCAAATCTTTTAATTGCAAAAGTTTGGTTTGAATGGTTTGTTGTAATGTCTTATTTGAATCTGTAAGTTCAGTAATTCTTTTTTCATATGTTGCAATTAATTTTGCACGTTTTTCTTCTTGAGCTTTTAAATTAATTATACGACTTTCTTTATTTTCCAATTCTTTATTCAAAATATTTATTTTCTTATCTTTTTCAACTGAATTTTCATTTAAAACTGTGATTTTTGATTTTAAAGTGTTTAGTTTTGCTTCTAATTTATTGTAATTAGAGTTCTCAGATTTTAATAATGTAACAGTTTCTGTTGCTTCCATATACTTCTGTTCCAATTCATCTAATTTTATTGTATTACTATGGGCTTCCTCAAGTTGTACTTTCAAATCACATATTTCATTCGAAAGTAAGTGATTCATGTTATTAACATTGTTAAACTCTTCTTGTAAAGATTTAGATTCCGTTGTTAACAATTTCATTTGTTCAGGTAAATTTCTTAAATCATATAATTTGAAATTGAGATTATCAATCTCAGCTATAAGTTTACGATTTTTTACATCAATTTCACATTGTTGTTCTAGTTTCATGGACATTTCATGCAACTGTTTATTATATTTTTCTAAATTTACTTCTAAACTTGATTTAAAACGTACAGTATCTTTTAATTCAGTTTGTAACTGATCGTATTTTTGTTTGAGTTCTTCAAATTCTTTTACTTTAATTTGAAAATTTGCATGATTTGGAATAATGTTATTTATTTCTAGGAAAGTATCAAAGCCATCTTTTAAAATAAAAATTTCATTATTAATATCTGTGAAATATTTCACTGTATTGTTTCTAATGTATGTGTTATCTTCTTTTAATTTTTTGGCAAGAAGTTTATAATTCGAAATATTCTTAACTAAATTATTTTTTTCTTTGTGAAGTAAACCAATATTAAAATTATCTGCTTTTAATTTGGTTTTAAGTTCAGAAATTGTAGATTCACTGTCTTGTATTTTTTCTTTATAAGTTTTCATTTCCGTCTCTTGGATCAGCAATTTTTCTTTCATTTTTTCAAGCATTGTTGCATATTCATGAACTTTTGCATTATAATTTTCACATACTTTATCTCTATCAATTAAAGCATTTCTCATATTTTCTAGTTCTTTATCAAGGCTTTGCACAGTGGCTTGTAACTTTTCGATTGTTGCTTCTGCTTCTTTTGTTTTCTCCTCAGCAACAATTTTTTGTGCATCATATTCATTTTGAATTTCTGCACATTTTAATTTATAATTTGAAAATTCCATATACAATTTTTCTTTATCTGTCTGATATTCTTTAGTAAGTTTTTGTAATTCTTCTAATTTAATTTTTATCTCCTGAAATTCATTTTCCTTCTCATCTAGTTTAGATTTTAAATAATCTTGTATAACCTCTTTTTTTTCTGAATCAGAATTTTTGGAACTATGTGATAGTTTTAATTTTTCTAATTCAACTTTATATTTATTAACAACTTCACTTAAGTTCTCTTTCGATTCTGTCATATGCTTTAAATCTAATTGTAGTTTTTTTATTTGTTCTTCCTTGTCTTCTAATTCTCTATGTATTGAAAGTTTATTTTCAGCTAGTGATATTACAGATTCTTCTTCACGTTTTTTTAAAATAGTCATTTGATCTGTTAAGTTTTTAATTTCTTTTTGGGTACAATTTATCTCTTTTTCTTTTTCTGCATAAGAATTTTTTAATGTTTCATACTCAAATTCCAATGTAATTTTCTCTGTCAATATTTCAGTAAATTTTTCTTTATTTCGTTTCAAAGATTCTTTGTATTTGAGCACAATATTTTCCAATTTTTTTAATTTATCCTTTAATTGTGAATTTTCAACTAACAAAGTATTTTCATTGGAAATTGATGAACTAGTACTAAGATCAATGAGATTATCCTTTAAATTTTCTTTTTGATCATTGGTAGTATCTGATAATGTAGTTTCTAAATTTGGTCCACTTGCTTGCAAAAGTTTAATCTGCAACAAAAGTAATATTAAAAATATATTAATGGTATACTTTTTAACATTACCTTTGTGTTCAATGTATTTATTATGTGATCTTTTTCTTCAATGTCATTTCTCAATGCCTCTTCCAAATGAGCTTTTGCTTGTTGTTCTAATTGACACTGTTCTTTCAAATCAACTATTCTTCTTAATACTTTATCTTGTGTTTCTACTAAAACTGATTCTAGTTTACTATTTACTCTTTCCAATTCCTTATAATGTGTTGCTAGATCTGTGTATCTTCCACGATATTTATGATACTTTGCTTGTATTTTTCGATATGCTGAATATATTTGATCTTTTGTAACTTTATCTAATTGTGAATTTATATTTTCATCTATCTCACTTGCAGATTGGTCCATATCAGACTATAAACAAAACAAACAGTTCAGTACATTTAACATTACAAATGATATATTAATTTCTTCAAATGTATAATTATAAATCGTCTGTGATACCTGCAAATGATATAAATTAGCAGGACTTTCATAAATTGGAAAAAGGGATGAAGTGTCACTAGTGATACTGCTAATTGAAGATCTTCTTGACATACCTAACGAGTTTGATATGGGTGACACTAAATCTACATTTTGAAAACCATGTTTAATAGGACTATTTTTGGGAGTTTCTGTAAACAGATATTTATAACATATAATATTGTTTTTGATTTAGGAAAATAAAAAAACAAATTAAAACTTACCATCTCCTTCTTCTGTTAAACTAAAATTGTCATTAGATACAGATAATTCCTGTACTGATGTATTGGACAAAGCAGGAGATACAACTGCCTAAATGAAATTAAGTTATTAATATATAAAATATATATATATCAATTTTATTTTAATTATTTTAATTAATAAATGAATATTTTACATCTTATAAAGATATATATTTTATATTATATTTTTAATAAATTAAAAGCAATCTTTTTAAATAAAAATACGATAATTGTACTTTATTAAGTAAATTTTATAATACATAATTAGTGCTTCAATTTTAAACGAAATGTCAAACCTGTGCTAGTTGTTGCATGCTCGCTTGCAACCTGGCAGGCGATTGTTTCATTTCTTCTGCAAGCTTATCTTTAAACTTTTTAAACATTTTGGCAAAATTTTATGGTATCTTAATATTTTTATTAAATTATATAAATTTCCATAGATGTGTTTACGTGGAATTAGCTTGGGATTAGAGATAAACAGCGTCACAACTTAAACGTGATCAGAAACATTGTTTTATACTGTTCGGAAGAACATGATAAAAAAATATATAAATCATTGATTATTAGATACGATAGTTTAACTTTTCGAGAAAATGTGTTTTTAATGCGATATTATAAGTTTCGCGTAAAAACCATATATGTATACGTAGCACAGTTATCGCCATTGATGTTGATGTTCATAGATTGAACTGTCAGAAACTGTTTTTGTTTCAATATATGTAAACTAGATTATTGTATTTTTGTATATTGTATATTATTTTATTTCTTCAAACTTAGATAGATTTGTTTAAATAATCAATTAAGAAAAAAGACGAAAAAATTAGACAAAAATAATAATTATTTTAATTAAAACTGAAATATAATATGGGGTGATCATAAAATTTTCATTTATCAAACAATATTTTAATATAGGTTCCAAATTCTTTTGTATTGTTCTTAAACATTTGAAAGTTTGATTAGATTAATATATATCACCTTATTATTGCATAATTTCATATTGTAACTTTAATTCATAAGTAAACGATACATTCATATTTATTAATCACTATGTATAAAAAATCTAGTTGCCTTCACGCGTTGCGTACAAATACAATTTGGTATAGTTTACGTGTGAAGTAGGATACTGTTGCTTACATCCTTTAATTTGCAAAGAATTGCAATAATTTTATTTTCAATGATTTGACTTAAAACGAGAATATTTTTATTCTTAAAAAAATGGTATGATATCGTTCAACATAAAATAAATAATTGATAATTAATAACCTTACATATTAGTTTCGTAAATAAGAAAGTTGTACATATTATTAATCTTCGTTAATTTGTTTTAAAACAAAATTTGTATAATTTTTGTTTAATCATAAAATCTTGTATTGCAATTTATGTTTTGTATTTGATACTAATTAAAATGTATATTAATTATAATATATATAAAACAATTGTTTATAATTAAAATATATTTAGAATCCAATTGTATACCTTTATAATTTGTATAATTTATTAAGCACGCTATTTTAGACATTTTTAATTGTAATTGTAAATTTCATTCATTATATATTATATGTTATAGGCTTCAAATGATGGTATACCTCCACCTACTGCAGTACCTGGATTTCCACCAGCAACTCCAAATATTGCTTCCAGTTTTGTACCACCTATTATGCCTACTGCACCTTTCATACCTCCTCCTAGTTTACCACCTGGTCCACCGGGTATAATGCCACCACAATTTTCTATACCTCCTCCTGGTTTTAGTTTTCCAATTAATGCTGCGCCACCACCTGATCCTGGAGTTATAGGTCAATATTTGTATTTATAAATATTTGTTAGTGTGTAAAAGTAGTATGTTTTATTTAAACATGATTTATATTTTAGCTGCACCTCCTCAAATAACAACACCAGGTATTCCTCCTCCAGCACCTATTGCAAGTGATACCACATCAGGTGTTCAATCTATTGCAGCAACGGAAAAAAAGACTGATTGGACTGAACATAAAGCTCCTGATGGAAGAACATATTATTATAATAGTGTTACAAAACAATCTTTATGGGAAAAGCCAGATGAGTTGAAAACTCCTAGTGAACTACTTTTATCACAGTGTCCTTGGAAAGAGTATAAATCAGAGAATGGAAAAGTATATTATCATAATGTAACAACTAAAGAATCTAGGTGGACTATTCCTACAGAGCTAGAAGAATTAAAAGCAAGAATTGCAGCTGAAGAAGCTGCAGCTGCAGCTGCAGCAGTTGTTGCAAGTGCTACAAATACGTTAGTAACAGTTATTTTATTGTAATCATGCAATATGAACAAGAAAATTCAAAGTTGCAAGAATATTTATCAAAATTCTATCCTTTTAGTATAGTTCCTGCAGGTATTCAACATTTATCACCAAATGTTGCAATTGCAAATACATCTCAAACTAGCACACCAGAACCAGGTGGAAAATCTGCAATTGAACAAGCTATGGCAGCAACTCTTGCTGCAATAAACATTCCTACCCCACCTGCAAAGCCAGATGAAGATAGTAATTCTGCAAAAGGATCAGCAAATGATAGCCGTACCAGTACTCCTGAACCAAAAATGCAATTTAAAGATAAGAAAGAAGCAATTGAAGCATTTAAAGAATTGTTAAGAGAAAGAGATGTACCATCAAATGCTACATGGGAACAGGCAGTAAAATTAATTCAAAGTGATCCTAGATATCCACAAATGAAGAAATTAAATGAACGTAAACAAGCGTTTAACGCATATAAGACGCAGAAACTTAAAGAAGAACGTGAGCAGGAAAGATTAAGGTAAGTAGTATAATATAATATTATATAAAGTTGATATTTTAACAAAAAAGGGAAAATAATAAATTATTTTAAATAGATTGAAAAAAGCCAAAGAAGATTTGGAACAATTTTTGTTAGAAAATGATAGAATGACAAGTACAACAAAATATTACAAATGTGAAGAAATGTTTGGTAATTTGGAAGTATGGAGAGCTGTAGGCGATTCAGATCGACGAGATATTTATGAAGATGTTATTTTTAATTTGGCTAAACGTGAAAAAGAAGAAGCAAAACAGTTAAAAAAGAGAAATACTAAAAGATTAGCACAGGTTTTAGATGCTATGACTGATGTTACATATAGAACTACCTGGCAAGAAGCACAAGCATTACTTTTACAACATGCAGCTTTTGCAGAAGATGCAGATTTACTAGAAATGGATAAAGAAGATGCACTACTGGTCTTTGAAAATCATATACGTCAACTAGAAAAAGATGAAGAAGAAGAGAAAGAGCATGAAAAGAAACGTAGAAAAAGGCAAGAACGAAAAAACAGAGATGCTTTTATAGTAAGTTTAACAAAAATTGAAAATTTTATATCATTTTGTAAGTAATTTTATTCACTAAGAATAATTGTTTTACAGAGTTTATTAGACGAACTTCATGAACAAGGAAAATTAACTTCAATGTCGCTATGGGTAGAACTCTATCCAATGTTATCTGCTGATTTAAGATTTTCAGCTATGCTTGGTCAATCTGGATCGACTCCTTTAGATCTTTTTAAATTTTATGTTGAAGATTTGAAGTCTAGATTTCATGACGAGAAAAAAATTATACGGGAAATTTTGAAAGACAAAAATTTTGAAGTTCAAGTTAATACTACTTTTGAAGAGTTTGCTACAGTAGTATGTGAAGATCGAAAATCTGCAACATTAGATGCAGGCAATGTAAAGTTAACATACAATTTATTACTTGAGAAAGCTGAGGCACGAGAAAAAGAACGTGTAAAGGAAGAAACTAGAAAGTTTAAGAAGTTAGAAACTGGTTTCAAAAATTTATTAAAAACTCTTAATGTTGATTATCAAATGACGTGGGAAGATGTAAGAAGTAAAATTGAAGAAGAACCAGACTTTAAAGCAATAACCCTAGAAAGCGAAAGAGTTCGAATTTTTAAAGAATATCAACATGAACTTGAAGAAAGTTGTAGTCACCATCATATTAGAAGCAAAAAAAAAAAGACGAAGAAGGTGAAACGAAAGTCACGATCACGATCACACAGTGTATGTATATTATATAATTTTAGATTCTGAATATTCGTTATAAAAATTTGCTTTTGCTCATTAGGAGTCCGAAGGTAGTGATAAAGGTTTAAAAAAAAAAAGACATAAATCACGATCGCCAAGCGTTCCCAGCAAATCGGATAGTTCCGAGTCTGATACTAGAAAGTCAAAAAAGAAGAAAAGTAAAAAGAAAAGAGGTCGTAGTCATTCTGTAAGTTAAAATAATTGTACCATATAATCAATAATTTTTTAAGTTTGTATAAGATTTACACTTAATAATTATATTTGTTTTTTTTTGTATATAGCGGTCACATTCGAGGCTTCCTTCGTCTGAAGAATCACCGGAAAGAAAACGCAAAGAAGAAAAGCATAGAAGAGCTTCTGCTCATAGCGAAGGATCAGTTACTGAAAATGCTGAACATCATGAACTTTCAGAAGATGAGTTAGAAAAACAAAGAGCACAATTATTACGTGAATTACAAATGCAGCAAGAAGATAATTAAGAAGTGTCTGCTTGCTCATAATCTTTTATGTAATTTTAGATAATTGCAATATTAAATTAAATGTAATTTGTATAAATTGAATTTCTTTTATTTCGTTAGTACATTGATGATATTTTTTTTATAATTCATACTAGTCAAGGAAACAAGAAAAAGAAGTAATTAAAAAAAATTCTATGATATGCAATGCAATATGCAAAAATAAATATTTTTACATAATGTACCTGAAGTAAATATCTTGACTATATATTTGCTAAGAGTACTATTTCTAAAAGAAAACCTATCCTTTGCGTAGTTTTTTACATTTTATAAAATATATATTAATAAAGTTATATTTGGGATACAAAACATTAATAAATTTTTATGTTTTACATTTAAAATTGCTAAGAATTTAAAATAATGTATAGTGGCACTGAAATTAGTTTATTATGTTTATTTTGTATATATTAAAAAAACAGAGATAATTTTAGTTCTTATAATTTGCAGGTTTTAATTTTTAGAGTTTAATTGATATTAATTTATAGATTTATGTTCTTTGATTTTTATGGACTATGTTTGTTATAGTAACTGTAGTAGTAACAAATTAAGTAAATTAAAATAGTTAAAATTTTTCTTTTCTTTCTTTTTTTATACATTTATGTTTATTATTAATATTATATTTTAATATCTTAATATCAAAATATTTGATAATTTTTTAAATATTTTAAGTATTGAATGATTTTTCATAAATTTTATGAAATAGCTTCAATTAAAATATTTTATATATTACTTAACTAATTTATAATGTTTTGTTATTTTTATAGAAGAATTAGACGACACCCTACTTTTTGGAATCTCATTACGTCCCTGTTTCATAGTCGAATTGATGGAGGGTGGGGTACATATGGAGGGAGGTTTAGCTCACTATTTGTTCGATGGTTGCCACTGTCGACTTTCGTAGTTTCGACAGTTCAGCATCCTGATCAGTTTTCACGGTGATTATAGTGAGCAAGCTTTATTGATAGTTTTGAAAAATTTGCACAACGAAGGTGAAGGTGTTCATGTAAAAGATTACCAAGGGATATAAATCAAAAGAAAAAAAATGATGTTGAGTCTTTGCCGTCAAGCGTTAATAGTTAACAGTCAAAAGTGAGTAGCCAAATACATCACAATTAGTGAAATAGATGTGTAGATAAAATTAAAATTTCATAATTAATGTTCTGCTTATCACATGTATCAGATTTTACTAGAATATATTGATTGTTTTCGAGTATTGACATTCCCACTATGTAGTAACGATCACATAAATGAAGGGGCGCGCTTATATGTAGATGTCAGCTTATTGGTGTGTTATTGGTCCTCCGATTCGTTTTCTTTGTCTAATCTTCTCTGTTCGCGTTATACCTCTTCGTCTACAAAAAGGATAGACTACTTTGCGGGTTTTGTTGGAATTTTCCATTATAAAATAGTCATGAAAGATGTTCTTTGGCAGTTCACCGAATAACATTTTTGACAATATATTATTGTTTGGTTTTACTGTTTTTACATATCACTATTTAAGATTCATGTTAAGACATTACTCATTGCAAATTTCGTAAATGCATATTGAAGAATGCTTTGTTAAATTGAATATTTGTCGGATTGTTAATATTATCAACTGCAATTTTATAAATAAGCATATTGGGGTATATAAACTCGGAAGTATATACTTGTATGATGCGTTTAATTTTACGTATTTTATAACTACATTTACATTATTTTATCGGCTACATATTATATCATTTATGCGTTGACTTAAATCATTTGTTCGAAGATTTTTATAAAATTATTTCTATATATTTGTGTTTGGAGAAGATTTCTCCACGCATTAACACTACATGAATTAATATTTTTATTCGTGTATATATTTGTGTGCCCTTGGAACATATTTTTACAGACTAATACATATGCATAGACCAGACAGTAACATCTGTTAAAGCGGACGTATTTTACCGCCTGCGTATAAATATATAAATTATATAGTGAAATTTTATATGACTCAAATATTCGCTGACTGATGTGTAATTATTTTAGCGTATAATTATTTCTTTTTGTTTTATTACTATCTAAATTCGATATAATTACTTGAAATTGATAGAAATAAAATATTTTGCGAAACACTAAAAAGGAATGTTCGTATTATTGAAAAGTATATATTTTTAACTTGAAATCATTTTGTATAGTTATAACGAATATATCATTATATCGATTCATTTATTTCATCTGTTTAATCAATTCACAATGTTATCGATTTAATTTAATTAAGCAAATTTTTATTATCGAATTTTCTTCCACGTAATTAGTAACACAGTGATAACTGTAATAACGCGGGTCACTGAAATTGTGTTACGTAATACTTTGATCATGGTGTCGGTTTGACATATCTAAGCAAGTTTAAAATAACATCTTTCTATCCTGAAAATAATATCTCCTCTCTTTTCATGTCTATGTAATATCATTTTTACTATTTTTTCTTTTCTTTTTCTTTTTTCTTTTTTTTTTAATTTGGTTTTTATAAAAAATAAGCTTTCGTTATTTTATACGTAATTTAAATTTAAAATAAATAAAATTATTGTTACTTATATAAACTATTTTACGTACAAATAAATAGTAATTAAAAATTTTCATATTTTTTGTATTATCCCTATCATTTTATTACTTCTATCCTTTATTAATATTTTATTAGTAATGACGATTTATTGTTCTTATTTTATGAAAATAAGAAAATGATTTAAGAAAATCTTACGTTGAAGATAACATTATAGGTTTAACTCTTACTACAAAGTACATAGATAAATATTTACAGATGATATCAAGCCAAGTTTAAAAGCTAATGTGTGCTTTCTCTTTTAATCTTACTTTGTTATGTATCCTTATGTAAATATTATTATTATTTAACTGAGAAATATGAAAACAATTGATAAGTTTTAAATCTTATAATAAGATTTACTACACTTCTATTACTAAAAATTACATATATATTTGATATTTTTATAAACAGAGTTAGTACAAGATGCTTAGGAACAATAGTACCAATACCAAATCCTATTGAATTTCCCTTGGAAAATGAACCTGTTCTTAGCTATAGGAAAGGTAGCCCAGAAAGGGCAGAGTTAGAGAAGGCATTGGATAAAATGGCTAATGAATGTGAAGAAATACCTCTTGTTATCGGAAATGAAGAAATTAAGACAGATTTGTGTAAATATCAAGTTATGGTAAGTTGAAAAAATAATAATAAGAAAGTTATAAAGAGTAAGTTAATTAATAGATTATATACTACTGATAATTATATTATATGTTTTAGCCACATAATCATAAAATAAAGGTTGCAAAATATTATTGGGCAACACCTGATCTAGTCAAAAAAGCAATAGATGTTGCTGTGAAAGCTCAACGTGAATGGGAAAAATGTCCATTCGAACAGCGTTTAGAAATTTGGTTGAGGGCAGCTGATTTGATGGCTGCAAAGTACAGGCAACAATTAAATGCTGCCACAATGCTTGGGCAGAGCAAAAGTGTTATACAAGCAGAAATCGATAGTGCAGCAGAATTAATTGATTTTTTTAGAATGCATGGATATTTTGCTAAAGAAGCTTTAAAATATCAACCAATTTCACCCAATTCTAAAGAAACATTAAATTCAATGAGATATAGGGGGATGGATGGTTTTGTTGCAGCTGTATCACCATTCAACTTTACTGCCATTGGTGGTAATCTTAGCTATACACCTGCTTTAATGGTTTGCATATTTTTTTTATTGCCTCATTTTCATGGATTTTATGAAATAAATAATTTATATATTATACATTGCATATTTAAGAGTACAATATATGTTACACAATAAATATATAGGTATAAATTATGCATTAAAAAATTTCAGGGCAATGCAGTACTTTGGAAGCCATCTGATACAGCTTTACTTTCTAATTGGTGGATTTTTAAGATATGCAAAGAAGCTGGTGTACCACCAGGTGTAGTTAATTTTGTTCCATGCAATGGTCCTGATTTTGGTGATACTATAACTGCTTCACCTTACTTGTCTGGAATTAATTTTACCGGATCAGTTCCAACGTTTAATCGTTTGTGGATGCAAATTGGTAAAAATTTGGGAAAATATAAGAACTATCCGAAATTAATAGGCGAATGTGGTGGTAAAAATTATCATTTTGTACATGCGAGCGCTGATGTGGAATCAGTTATTAATGGGACCATAAGAAGCGCTTTCGAATTTAATGGTCAGAAATGTTCAGCTTGCAGTAGAATGTATATTCCAGAATCATTGTGGCCACAGGTAGATTTATATATAGTTTGGATTATAATTTTTTTTAAAAAGAACTTTGAAATTTGAATCATTAAATGTTACTGCATATAGATAAAGGAGGGTCTTCTATCGATTCGTGACACACTTAAGATTGGCGACGTCAGAGATTTCACCGTGTTCACCGGGGCTGTCATAGATGCTGTTGCATTCAAAAGAATTTCTGGTTACATCGAACATGCTAGAAAGTCATCAAATCTAGAAATTATTGGCGGTGGAAAATATGATAATTCGTATGATTCGTTTTACCTTTAATTTGTCGAATATGTATCTTATTATTTTTAATTCTTTCTTTTTTTTCATTAGACTTGGGTATTTCATTGATCCAACGATAGTAGTAACAAAAGATCCTAAAGATAAGATAATGACAGAAGAAATATTTGGCCCTGTGTTAACAATATACGTTTATAAAGATTCAAATCTCGACGAAACCATGAAACTGGTAGAATCCTCAACACCGTATGCTTTAACTGGATCGATATTTTCACAAGACGAGTAAGCATTGTAAGAGGTTTTAAAATATTTAATTTTATTGTATAACATCTCATTATTTTTCAGAAAATGGGCAAAAAGAGCTCTAGAGGAATTTAAATACACAGCTGGTAATTTCTATATTAACGACAAATCGACTGGTTCTGTTGTCGGTCAGCAGCCATTTGGTGGCAGTCGAATGTCTGGAACAAACGATAAAGCTGGAGGTCCCCACTACGTTCTTCGTTGGGCATCGCCACAGTCAATCAAAGAAACGTTCATTCCTTTGCGTGAACACAGTTACGCGTACATGAGGTCTTAAATGTAAGTAAGTATCATTAACAGTTTGCAGTAATAATACGAAGATACCGATGCAATAGCATTTTATATTACAAACTGAAAAATGCAGATTTTTTGGGTTGTTCGATAAGAAATAATGAATTTTCATGCATTCCTTTACGTAAATTGATCAAATTTACGTATAGGGCGCTATTTGCACTCACAATGCAAGTTACATGGGCTTTGTAGGAATTTATACTATAAAGCAAACTGCTTAACCACAAAATAATTCACAATATTTATTCACAATAAAGATAGCTGATTTACAGAGAAAAAGCAGCATTCAGTGGTTGGTAATGCATGTACCAATTGAACAGTATTTTTTGTTTTTAATAAATGTATTTGTGAATTTGGCGTTAGGTAACGTACGAAGAAGATGAACACAAGATCAAATAATATTTGTAAACTACTTTCAAAGTAGTCCCAATATAAACAAAAGTCCACCTTAATATTTGCTGCCAATAGATGAAACTAATGTTCTGCAAGTTGCAGTGTATAGAGTCTATATTATTAAGATCAAGTTTCAGTACAATAATATTTTAATATCTCAGGAATTACCATATGTGGTTGCAAACAAAGAGGCATTTCTTTTGGTCGTACATTGCAGTGATACATGAAATTTTATAACAATATTATTCAGGTATGGTGATCAAGATACATAATATCTGGAGGTGTGTTTGAAGATTGTGATGAATGCGTACTAGTTAGAAAAACCGTTTGCTGTGTTTTTCTGACCTCACTTTTTTATATTCTTATATAGATCATTTACAATGGCTGAAATTACGTTATAAACGCGCAGCGTAAATATTCATTTTACTGTGTAATTTACAAGACAATATGTAGACGCGGGACGAACACAGTAAAATGCAAAAGTTACCCTTAAATTGTGTTGTCAAGCCTGATCGTCGATCGTTTAGGCATGTTATTGTTAACAGTGTGATTGAGACAAAGCATCTTGCAAATCGAACAATGATTATTAATTAAATATACAGTAATATGTTAGATGTTGTGGCTGATGTTATGATGTAATTTATTTTAAGTGTACCATAGCAATAAAATACTATACAATTAGATATTTCTAACATAAATTTCTTAACTAATTCGTTAGACATCCGAATTTGATGATATATCGTTGTAATCGATCCCATTTGTTGACATTATTTTTATATTCCTAGAATTTTGAGGTAAGAGATTACTCTTAGTACACTGAATAATTTATCGACATAAATGCCACAGCAGGTAAATAGAAGCGTTCCATCTACTCCTATATTACCAGTTACCTTGTTACGATAATATTGACAATAGTATTGCGATCTTAAAAAAAATCACGTTTCTACTTGCAAAAATCAAAATTACGCTATTACTATTTCGACTAAACTATATTTTAGTACCTCGTGGAAATCTTAATTTACAATAACAAAATTTGCTATCTCCTGAAATGAATGAATATTTCGAATTTACGTCCATAGAGGCCGCAACGAGCTTAGTTAACATTCGTTTATATTATTTTCGATCGAATAAAATAAATTGTTGCGAGGTAAAGAGTGCGTAGAAAATATTTTCTAAAAAATTCGTTAAAATATTTTTAATATCGAATAAAATTTTTGACAGTCAATAGTATCGATTACTTTTTACTCTGTACCTGTTCTATCTTATCTACCTCTGATAGAAAGTTACGTCGAGTTGCTTGAATCTACGAAAAAGGTACAAATTTGGTACAAATAAGGTTGCAAAGTAACACATATATTTCTTTATCATTCGTACGATTGCAATCAAATTTGAAATATATCATTCAATTATATCGATTACTATTTTCTAGTCCGTTTTGATAAGTATAAATCGGATTTTGTACGTTCACTTTTCAATTGACTCATTGAAAACAAATTGAATTCCATTTCAGTAGCTCAAATACATACATATACATATATATTATATATCAATTTAAAATATATACACACATAAACACACGTATACACGCACGTGTACCCAACAATGGTGATTAAAAGGAAATGTTGAACTTAATAACGCGTCAAGGAATTACCTTTTTCATCCTTTCTGCAGCCTAATCGCACCATTTGCATTTTTCACAGTTCCTCATTTCTCTTCGTTACTTCGTTACTCGACCCAAGTACTTTCCGCTACTTCCACTCGACTCGCTTCGCTCCTCGCGCCCACTTCCTCTTCTTCCTCTTCTTCTTTTCTTCCTTTTTCACAGCACGTCGATGGCGGTGCCGCTTTGACGAGCCCTGGAATGGGGTTGACACTAGAAGACACCGGCGGAAGAAGAGGGATTCGATGGCTTAGGAGAAATCGTCGTTAATGGCTTTGCCGAAGGATTTCCTGGCGTTCTCGGTGCTTTTTTACGAGTTTTCCGGCTGCGCCGATCTAAAGCGCTCACTCAAATCAAGATTTTCACCTTTTCAACGGCAGATGAGACGATGGCCAACCGTTCTCGCCTCTACGCCCTTTTTTCTTCATCCATCTTTCGTCGCTTTTCGCCTTCCACGATCTATCCTTTCTTCCCTTTTCCTGGTTCAGTCCTTTCACAAACCCCGTTTTTTTCGCTTCGCTAAATGACTTGTTTTTTCGGCTCCGACATACCTTGGACCCGTAGCAAGAGGACCCCGAAAGTCCTGTCCTCCCGGTAATCTGAAATTGACGTAACGATGATGGATGCAGGGCCACGGAAATAATCCCTCTCTTTTCGATACCTTCCATTTTTTCCTCAGCTCTCCCACGCGGCTAGATCGTCGCTGGGATTGCGATTATAATCGACACGTTTCGTTTATGTTACCACAGCTGATACTCTACATTTTGCCAGACGCATGTTCCGACCTCGTACTCGAAGACAAGCATGCTCGTCCTAAGGTTTTCTTCTTTCTAACCGCGAGAAGTGGCATGTTTCGCTTCTCACTGTGCAGATTCACTCATCGAGCAGTCCTTTCTTTTGCAAAGCAAGCTTCTTTGCGAACCGCGTATTTACTCGAATTTAGATGTAAAATTTTCCATTTCGTTCCGTTCGCTTCGGGATTTCTTTTTTCAACCCAATTGTTTCGAAATACGCAACGAGACTAATTATGTCACTGTTATCGGTGAATATCGAACAATAGACGTGGAAAAAATCCGCGGAGAAGAAGCATTTATCGAGAACTTATTAATTAACGATCGGTGCATTATTGGCTACTAATGAGATACGTGTATGTACATATAGACTTCCGGGCTCCATTGGAAATGATACGATATTCTTCTTTTTAAATTCACCGTCATGCAAATGGAAAATTTTGCGTATAATTTGTAGAATTGGAAAGGGATGTTTCGAAATACATATATACTTTCGAATACAATATTGATTTTAACGATTCTTCGAGAGGGAAAATATTCTATATATCATCTTCGATATGTTCTTATAGAATCGGTCAGTTTTTCTTGTATCATAATTATTTGAATAATTATTGAATTCAATCGTGAATTCTACTTCCAGAATTATCAGAACGCGTTATTACTCGAAAACTGTGAAAATCGGCAAGCGGTAATTTTAAATCGGGTAACTAATTGCAGATTCGAGTCACGTTTGAGTGAAATTTTCTCAGAGTAATTCGAGTAATCATCTGGTGGAAAATTGTCAATTTTGTTTCAAGAAAAGATCACGGTGAATCTTCGCCTTCCTCGGGTAAGGTGTACATTAAGCGGGGAGTGTTCGCTTTAAAATGGCGGTACAGGTGATGGAGAAATGACCGGGTGATTTTCTGGATAACGTAGCTGCAGGTGGGATGTCTAGATTGAATAAAGAAAAAGCACTCTAGTATACCGGTTTCCAGACCACGCTTATGTTCCACTCTCACGCAATATTAATTCTAGAGAAACAATGTTTAACCGTCCCATCTTACTGCTTCATACACGAAATAGAATTACCGTTCTTCCGTCTATTGCTGCTTTGCATGGCTCTCTACTTAATTTCCCCTTATCTAGCATCCGAGTAAACAGACACTTTTATAACGAAAGAGTTGATCGCCTTTTCCCTGGTGCACTTGTTAACCTATTTCTCCTCTCCATTCGAAGACTCTTATTTAAAGCTAGTAGAAATAAAAAGCCCCGGAAGGAAGCGAATTAAACGACGCTCGACAACTTCGACTGAAAGTGGAGGACGGAGGGTTGAAAATGGGGAAGGAACTGAAAGAGAAATAGGAGAGGAATCGCGAAAGTATCAGAGGAGCATGGAGAACTGCGAGGAAGCGAGAAGTGATGGGAAAGATATTGGCGAAATTAAGGGAACGAGTGAGGAAGAATAGCAGAGAGGGAATTAAAGAATTCGGAAGAACTGAGAAGAACGAAGAAAGTAGAAGCAACTGCATGTAGAAGAAAGAAACATGGGAAAGTGCAGAGGAACGAGAAAGTACAGGGACGGAAAATGAGAAGTATGAGAAACCACGAAGAAGCGAAGGAAATAAAGAATTGGAAAGCCAGAGAATTAAAGAAGCAGCGGAAAATTCAGAAGAAATGGAGAAAATTAGTAGGGGTTGCGCAGAAATGAAAAAGGGAAGAAACGAGAAGAAATAGTAGAAAACGTAGGGGCTTTGAAGAAAAATGGCGAGAAATCGGTAAGAGAAGAATCTAATAACAAAGAAAAGGTAAGATAAGAATGAGAAACAGAGTATAGTGAGAGATAACGGGATGTTGGAGGGACACGGGAGATCCGAGGTTTCGTATCAGGCTTCCGGCGCCACGGTGGATGCTCGTCACGGTGTCGATATCTCGGTGAAATTCAATGATATCCGAACAATTAAAGCGTGCTCGCGTTGCGTTGCAAGAACACGAGCCAACAGAAGGCCGGGGTAAGAGAGAGCGAAGGCGATACCGCGCAGGCACTCGAGGGGTGGCGTTGGGTTTTAAAGGGTGGGAAGGATACAATATTTCAGAGTGGCGACAAGGAGCAAGCCTGCTTGCCACTGGCAAATTAATTAAATTCCTAGAGGCTGGCTGGAAAGGCTAAGGGGTTGGTCGGCGAACCGGGCAAGAGTCCTGTGTTCAGCCCGTGGGAATATTGTAATTAAGATATGCACTTCCACCCTCCATTTTACCCGTTGCAGTCTCTCTCCCGGCCGCCGCGGTGGATGATTTACGCTTCGAAGGACGCGGTATTGTCTGTTTCGACCGTTTCTAAATTGCATCCTATTACGGCCGGGCTCGGGGTTGACGCGCCACCGAGATTCTACTTCCGTACGGCCTGCTGCTTGAAATTGCACCACTCTGATTGACGTTTAACGCCTCTGTTTATCGCGTGGTGTATACACCTATGGAAATAGGGCGAGCGTGTGCGCGAAATAAAGACCGAAAGGTTGCTCTGAGGATTCGAATGGAACCGAGTGGTGCAAGAGGGAACGGGGTGGTTCGAGCAGATGTCACTCGAGAGGGTTGCGGTGGATCTGGTAGCCTTTGGTTCACAAAACACGTATAGATGTATGTAGAGATACTGTTTGATTGGCAAATATAAAGAATAAGAGATGTTGAAACTTACAAGGAGAGTGCAAGTCCTTCAGGTCACCGATTTAGTTGAAACATTGTAAATTTGTAGATTTCCTCATACAGTTCAAGAATATATATCATTATAGTAGCAACTACTCAATAGTTTTTGAGATATTTATGATTAAAGTTTTATTACATTTTGAACTACGGATTTATTTCCAATAGTTTCTCCAGTAATTTTTCCAAAGATTGTATGCTTATTCTGCAAATTTGGTGTAGAACTAAGGGTAAAGAAGAATTGGGAACCATTGTCATCTTTTCCAGCATTAGCCAAAAACATAGTCTTGTATGAAATTTGTCCTAAAACACATATATCCAATAATTATTTCTGAATAAAAAAGGAATTTATTTTATTTTTAAATATAGTCTCATTTTAAATGGTTCTCCATATATTTTACCACATTTTCCTGTACCTGTAGGATCGCCATCTTGTGTTATGAATCCTTTGATAATTCAATAAAATATAGTGTCATCCTAATAACCTTCCATACATAATTGCATGAAATTTCTACATATCTTTGGAGTTTCTTTTACCCATAATTCTAACTCA